ATACATTTATTCCCACACTTTGATGTGTTTATGGTTTCTATAAGATGTCCAATCCAGCATCTGATGTCAGAAATTGTTAATAAATTAATCATTTTTTAAAGCTGTCTACAAATACATATTATATAGGCCTTTTTTGTTTTACATTTGCTGTTTAAAACTTGTGTCACACACTTAACTTCATTGTCACTGCTTTGCATGAAACAAAAATCTCCTCATCCAGCCGCACCRGTCTTGAACGACTGGGTTCAGTAACTGGAAAATGCTGCTATACCGATAGTCAGAAGATGAAGTTATATTTATTATTTCACTATCATTACTGCTGCTGAAGGACTGTCAGATTTACAGGAATCAAAAACAGTTGAGCTCTGGGATAGAGAGGAATTCCTTGCCCATGAGTTTGACAGTACAAGGGTGCTGCTGTGTGTGCATCTGCATAGATGTGTGTTAAAACGTGTTACTGATCATTGCCTGTTCTCTGGCAATCAGTTCAGGGTGCTGATGTGGCTAACTAAAGTATGTTGGACAGGCAGGGATCTACTTCACTAAATGTCACTTTATGCGTGAAAGGTTATTTAGAATCATATGGAAAAATGTTTACTGCTCAAGCCAAACAAACTCAAAATTGACCTTAAATGAATCATATGCTCACTCCAGATTTAGCAAAAATGTTTCACAAATTTCCACAAATGAGCAACAATGAGAAACAAATTCTAGACTTAGACTAAGGAAAAAGCCAACATTGACATACAACTGGAATGAAGCTTGTCATACATTAAGTAAAAGACCCAATTCAAAATGAAATCTGACATAATATAGTGCATTTTATCAGTAAACAAATGGACATAGAAAACAATGTTTGTGGAAATGGATTCTGCTAGCAATACCTTGGCTGCATCATCGTCAAGTTTCTGTTAGCAATCAAATTGTTTAAAGAATGCCATTATGGGTGAAAAGACATGTAGAAAGCATGCATCTTTACTGAAGCTGCATGAGAGCGAATGCTTAATGTCTGTGCCATCCTTTGCACACTTCCACATGTGTCTCCACCAAGAATTGACCATTTTATGTGCAGGATTTATTTAAGACCAGAAGAGAAATAGATTGTAAACATGTGATTTTATTCGTTTGGATAAAACACAAATTGATTCTATTGTTACTCTGTAATTATCTTAACTTTTTTGTGGGGAGGGGTTGACAATTATTTTTACATTATATAGAAAGAAAGAGATCTATAGATCGTTTGTAGCAGTTGTAGGGAATATGGCATGTTACCTTCCATAACACACTAAGAACTTACATTAATTGTTTGTTTCAGTTCTGCACATGTAGACAAAWACAGTATTCCTGCCCACCCACTAGTTCACCCACTCAGATATGGCCTGCTTTCACTTTCTGTCTTGACAACATTTCCGTTCTCTATCCTGTGGATCTATGCAGAAGCCCATTCCTTTTGTTTGTTTTAGTTGTAAATATGTTCACTAGTATGCTGACCAATGTCCGTTTCTCCTTCTGTTATTTGAGTTGATGTCATGCTGTTACTTTCTTTTTGTTTTCCTTTCATTTTTCTCCACCCTTTTTATTTTTGATCACCTGAAATCACTGATGTTTGAAGATAATGTGGTGAGGTTTAACCAAGAGATATGTCTTCAGCTTCACAGCCTTGTTGTTAAAGGCCGTGATTCTGTGTGTGTGAAAGCAAAAGGTTTATATTATGGAGTTGAAAAATGGTTTAAATGCATATAGAAGTACCATTGCAATTATGATTCTAATTACTATTATACTACCAGTATATTGTAATATTATAGATGCTTTAGTTCAAGTAACTTCTTTAATTTTTTTACAAACAATTTTGATGAAACGATTTATAAAACTGTCTCACCAGTCATGATATTTTGAAAAAGTATGAGAACTACTGCTACAATGATTAAAATTGTGTTCTGATGAAAATAAATACAAACATAATATTATGCATCTGTTTCTGTTGTCCCTCTGTATTATGTGGCTTTGTTCTGATTAAAAATCGTTAAGATGGTTTAACACAATGACACATCAATGGCTGCCATGGTTGGAGAAAGGGGTCTAATTTGGCCATCAAAAAGGAGGCAACCATCACAGGTAAAACACAGAAGTGGAGTTAACAGCTCTTCATGCGTCCAGTCACAACTTAAGGGAGTTTGCCCAACCATTYTACATGCTTTATGAGCCATGTTCCCTTAGGTACATCATGAGAGGTGCTGCAGGAATATCATTATGGGACCTGTGACCATATCAAAATGAGATTGGATGGATGGATGGATGGATGGATGGATGGATGGATGGATGGATGGATGGATGGATGGATGGATGGATGGATGGATGGATGGATGGATGGATGG